GCAGTGACCCACTTTCATCCCGTTGGCCACCTCTGCAAGGGAGATTGGGGAGAGTAGCTTGTTGACTGGGCCTATTGCAAAAAGTTCTGATTCTAAGGAGGAAAGAGAGAAGGGATGTTGGGTGGGCAACCAGCCATCTCTTTCCCAGTTTTCTTTCTACATTTTTTTTGGAGAGAGAAACAGGATCCTGGGGGAAGTCACTCAGCCATAGTCACCAAGCAAAGAATGACAGAGCTGGGATTTGAACCAGGGCTTTCTGATTCCAGAGCCTGCGTCCATAACCATGATCTCATTCTCCCTTAGGGAGATACGAATCTCCATTCTGGAAAGGGAGAAAGTGGACAGAGATTTAAAAACCCTTTGCTTCAATTCACAATGAATATTTTGGCCTCAATTATTAACAAAATGGCATTAATAATACCAAATGCAGACGTGCTCTGTGGCTTTGGACAGTTCCCTCAACCTCCCTGAGCCTAGGGTATGGCCTAGCCTGCCACAATGACAGCCCGTCTGCCCTTCCAGGGACAAAGCCCAGGAACTGTCGGACTGGATCCACCAGCTGGAGTCTGAGAAGTTTGACCTGATGGAGAAGCTGAAGCAGCAGAAATATGAGGTGACACCCATCTCTGCTGGGGCCCAGGCTGGCCAGGGATGGGCAGGAAAGGGTGGGCAGGCCTGTCCCCGGTTACCCCAGCATCTCCCTCTTGCCTCCCCCCACAGATTAATGTGCTGTACAACCGTATCAGCCATGCCCAGAAGTTGTAAGTGCCCCTCTGACTTGGGGTTTCTCCTTTTTTCTCGGCCCCCCTCAGTCTGAGTTTAGCCCCTCATTCTCTCTTAGTGTCTGTCTCTTTCTCTATCTTTGTCCCTCATTTTCTCTCTGCCCTCCATCTCTATTCTGGCATCTCCATTCCTGTTTCCATGTCCCTCTGAATCACTGGTTCTCAAGGAATGGAGGCAACCTCCCTGCCCCCCTGCACACCCTCCCCCCCCAGGACATTGGGCAATATCTGGAACATTTTTGGTTGTCACAGCTGCACAGGGGGATGCCAGGGACACTGCTTAACACCCTACAGTGCACAGGACAGCACCTCACAGCAAAGAGTGATCCGGCCCCAAATGTCAGGAGTGACAGACCCCCCCATCATTAACGTCATCAGCTCCTACATGAACACAACTCACACATGTCAGTGGGAATTGGCCTTTGACCATGAACCCATCATCCCAGTCATCACCTGAATGTGAATGCATTTGTGCTCCTCTTCCTCTGGGCAGGGAGGGCAGGCATTTTGGGGGGCCCATCTCAGAGGTCTGGAAAGCTCTCCTTCCTGACACCCCCTTCTTCTCCTACAGCCGGAAGGGGGCAGGGAAGGGCCGCCTTGGAGGCCGCTGGAAGTGAGGACCCAGGGCGGTGGCCCACCCTGAGGCACCTGGGAGCCAATGGAGTGTTGTCCCATCTGTATCTTGAAATAAATGCTCCCCCTGCAGGAACCTGCTGAGTCCTTTGATTATTATTATTAACATGCAGCCAGCCTCTCACGATTAATTGACTTACCACCAACTTGCTGTTGCTTGGAGAATCAAGCATTATGATGACATGTCAAGTTAAACCCTCACACACGGCTGGTGGGAATGTGAAATGGGGCAGCTACTCTGGAAAATGGTTTGGCAGTTCCTCAAAAAGAGTTACCTTATGGCCCAGCAGTTCCAGTCATAGGTGTCTACTCAAGAGGGCTGAAAACATAGGTTCACATGGGAACTTGTATACAAATGTGGCAGCAGCATTATTCACAGCAGCCAAAAGATGGAAACAACCCAAGTGTCCATCACTGATAAATGGATACAGTGGACTATTACTCAGCCACAAACAGGAAGGAAGCACCAATACTCGGTACAACATGGATGGACCTTGAAAAACATGATGCTCTGTGAAAGAAGCCAAACACAAAAGGCCACAAATTGTATGATTACATGTATATGAAATTTCCAGAAGGCAAGTTGATAGAGACAGAAAGTTAGATTAGTAGTTTCCAGGGGCTGGGAAGAGGAAGGGTTGGAGGGTGAGAGTTGACAAGAATGGCGTCTCTCTTTGGGGTGGTGAAAATATTCTGGAATTAAATAGTAGTGATGGTTGCACAACACTGAATATACCAAACCCTCAATTACACACTTGGAAATGGCAAATTTTAGGTATGTGAAGTACATCTGAATTTAGAAATGCAAGACTAAACAAAAAATTTTGCAAAGTTGCCCATGGGAGGATCAGCTCAGTGACAAATTAATGCCTGTCACTTGCCACTCTGCCTTTGTGACTTTCAGAATGGGACCTACATTAGTGAGCATGTAGGTCTGGTTACTGGGCCCAAAATCCTAAATAACTTCAGCTTAAGCAAGTTAGTTGGTTTCTCTCACACGTGATTGTCTGGGTTGAGATGGGGTCTGTTTCATGAAGTCCGGGCGCAGGCTCCTTCAGCTGTGAAGCTTCCAGCCTAGGGTGTTGCCTTTGTCCAAGGGGCGAGTGCTATGGACCAAAGGTTTGTGTCCCCTCAAATCCATATGTGGAAGCCTAAACCCCCAGTTTGATAGTGTTTGGAGGTGGGGCCTTTGGGAGGTGGTTAAGTTAGAGGAGGCCATGAGGGTGGGCCCCTCATGATGAGATTAGTGTCCTCATAAGAAGAGAAAGAGATCAGAGCTCACTCTGTCCACCATGTGAGGACACTGTGAGAAGGTGACCATCTGCAAGCTGGGAGGAGGGTTGCAGAACTGGACCATGCTGGCATCCTGATCTTGGACTTCCAGCTTCCAGAACTGTGAGGAACACCATTGTTTAAGCCACCCAGTCTATGTCTATGGTATTTTTGTCATAGCAGTCTGCATTGACTAAGACAATAAGAGTGCTCCACCAGCCTCCACAAGCCGGTCAGCCACAAGACGTGTTTCACAGTATACTTCTCCCTTAAATATAAAAGACTTTTTGTGTGTGTAAATAAGACTCGCAAGGACAGTTTTAAAATGACAGAAATCAGTACTGACTTATAATGTGCTTAGCCCTGTTTCCACACTGGGCAGAAGTGTAAGCTGCATACTCGGAGAAGTTCTCAGTTCATCCCTTTATCTGAACCATATTTATGATGTAATCTAGTGTCTGGTTTTCTGCCTGATGCAGGGGAAGAGGGAACATCTTTTTATCTTTCTGAGATTATTTTTACCAGCAGCAAGGAGGGTCCACAGCTCCAAGGTCAAGCATGGAAATTACAGTGTCAGCACTGAGAAAAAACAGACCTCAGAAGTGAAAAAAACCTTCACCATGGAAAAGAAAAGGGCAGAATAAAAGCATTTTGATGAGTGGAATATGAAAATGCCTGTACACAGCTAACATCTTCTACCTATCAGATAATTTACGTCGTTGTCTCAACAACTCCAGGAGGCAGAGGTAAAGAGACTAGCCTTAGGTCCCAGGGCTAGGAAGTGGACAGAGACAAGGTTCAAACATTGGACTGCCTAAATCAGAGCTGGAATTCTTAACCATTGTAGTAGAATATAATTTTTAAAATAGAAGTTAAAGTCAATGTAAAGTTAATAGACCTTATGGTGGCGCATGTTCCACAGTTCGTTGTGTGGGTTGAGCAGATACCTCAAATCGTGTCTCACAAATAATCACAGTCACAAAAACACAGCCGTATTTACACCAAAGCTTACAGACATCATAAACACAAGCACCCAGAAACAGCACACACCCAGCCACAGACACAATCTCAAATGCACACAATTATAATGTGTCGAGGTTACACACAGCCACAGAAATACATAACACGGATGATTCACCGCTTTTAAGTTCCCTAAAGGAGGTTGCTGTGCACGGGTGTGAAAAGTGTGGGGTTCAGGACTACTCATCTCAAGAAACACCGTGTTAACCCCTATGTATCTATGGCTGGCGTTCCCCAGGCCTCGTGGGATTTATAGTTTATTTCTTTGCACAGGTCCAAGGACTTCAGAATGGATGGAGTCTGTTGCCCCTGTCCAGATTTCAGCGCCTTTGTGCAATTTGTATAGCCTTTGTTCCGGTCTCAAAGTGCCCCCATCTTTCCCAATTTGGATTTAGGTGCAGGATACTTAAGGTATTTTTTCGTGCTTTCTAGTGCCATGTATGAAACAATTCGCCTTCCAAATCTATGCAAACGCCTCGCTCTGGACTACAAATCCCAGTATGGCTTGCGAAGATGTAGAGGCTGGACTACATTTCCCAGTGTGCTCCACGTTCCTGGACGAGGGCAGGAGAAGGGCGGGACAGAAGGCTCTGGGGGCGCTGTCATTGTGGACTCAGCCACTTGGGTTCTTTTCCTGATGTGATCCAGGGGTTACCTTCAGGGATTCTGAACTTCTCTTGGCATTGAGCCTGATTGCTTGGGGTGCTCTGGGGCTCTGCTTAGGACCAACTGAGGTGTTAGGGGCGTGGTCCTGCGGACTGCATTTCCCAGCATGCCCTGAGGCTGTCGCCCGATGCCGTGACCTTTGTCCCGCAAAATTAATTTCCCAGCATGCCCTGGGTGGCCACCCTGGGAGCCTTGGATGTGAAGCGTCTTGTATGATTTAGGTGTCGCGGACTCAATTTCCCATGGTGCCCTGGTGTTTCCCATGACGTAGGAAATCCATTCATTCATTCAAAAACAATTTTCGATCGCGTACTATTAGGCTCAGTTATAGGCTCTGAGAACAAGGAGTGCATACAGAAGACAAAATAAATCCGCCTTCCTGCAGCTTATTTCTAGTTGAAGGAAGCGGACTTCAAGTAGCCCCAAATAAGTAAACCATATGGTATGAGGAAAGCTGATAAAGCGTATGAAAAATTAGTTCTCAATCTTAGGACTCCCGGGCCGTCGAGTGTGTCCCTTTCCAACCAGGTCCCTTTTCCTTAGCTACTGTGAACTACATTTCCCAGCATGCCCCGGAATACACCTCCAGCCTCTAGACTTCATTTTCCAGCGTTTCCCGGAGCATGCCCTCAATCGGATTTCCATTTGACGCCTGGGAGCAGCGG